GATTTAGCCTAACACATATGAGAAATTGGTGCAAAATGAAGTCAAATGACTTCAACTTGAAGATTCTTATGTTGGTGAAATTTTCTCAAACCTGATCGATTATCAAAATAGAATCACTTATGATTGTGCTAGAATCACCACTCATCTCTCGTCACCATTGACCCAAAGACCTGAATTGATTCAAGAAGATTGAGAGAAAGTTTTAAAATCTTTGACCCTGAACCGATTATCAAAGATGCTACTAATCAAGAAAGAGAATCAAAATTGATTAAGTTACTTTCCTTTTCTATTCAAAATCTCAATCCTCATTTGATAAGACAAATTAATCTTTTACCTCATTGGTTAATACATTTAAATTTCCTCTGTTAGGAAAGAGAATAGAATATATAAACAATTTTTTCTCGCCAGTTAGTAATGGATCAAATTCTTTATGTTACTCTCTCCATTATTATCCTTAATTGGCTTAATTACTCAAATTACTTCTTCCGTATTTCAGTTTAATTACTTTTCTATTGTTCTTCATTTATCTATCTACCTCAAAACGACAATTAAAATCTATATAATTCAAGTTCTAAGTTGTGTGTATTCAACGTGTATAAATAGAAGTCAATTGACTTCTGCTTTACATAAATTTATCTGAACTCGGTATATAAATTTAAACGAAGGTGGTTAATTAATCTACGGATTGATTTAATTACTCTCGAGTTTATTAAGTTAAGCTGTGTCTTCATCCCTCATAGCGATAACCTTAACAAATGAAATTTTCAGATCATATTTGTGGGTTGAGAACACTGATTTATATTTGTTAATGAATTCAATCATTTGTTGTTTTTCTTGTTGATTCAAGTCCTTTGAAATCGTTTTCATGAGGATATCATTCAAGTCATTGACTTGAGGTGGAAAATCGTCTTTTCGTTGATCCAGTTTTCTCTTTTGATATGATAACAATATTCCACTTCTTGCATGATTAACTGTCATTGCTAATCGATTAATTTCTTCTTCTACACTTTTTGCTCGTTTTGTTGTTTCTTTTTCCTTTTCTTCTCGTTGTCGATTCTGTAGTATTTTCTCTTCAACAGTCAATGACTGTTTCGTAGTTGATGTTGGCTCTTGACTCTTAGGCCATTCACTAGAAACTACCACTTCAGGTAAACTACTAATCGGTAACTTTTTTTTAGTTCTGATCATTGAGGTCCATAAATTGACGGAAAAAGTTTAGTAAAGATATAACACTTCGTTGGTCTTCTCAAAACTGGGCTTTTCACCGAATCTGTTAATCTGGAAATTTTTGTAACTTGATTCCCGGTGATTGAGATATTCCTTCGTGTAAGAAATTCTGTCCAAGAATTAGATGATAATTCTTCTCAAATATAAAATTCTTATTGCTATTTGGGATAATACTTGATGAAGATTTGTGAGACTCAATCGCTTTTATTGGTGTATCTCTTTTATCAAATCCTCTGAATTCGTGACGTGATCTGTAAATTTGTAGTCAAGTTTTCAGCGAGCTCGAGCGAATAAGCGATGATCCAGTCGGAATCTACCAAGATCTGATTCTAATTGGTTGATCGCGATCCCAAACTTGTACGTAAATAATAGGATCTGTCTCATCTTTCTAATTTCAGTTGATATGTTAATTGTCTGATTGTTCTCTGCATCGATCTTCTTTTCGACCAACAGTCTTTGATAGTGTGACCTTTTCCACAGAAGTCACATTTGACTTCTTTCTTTGTTGTGGGTTACCTTGAGGTTGAGGCGTTTGTTCATTGTTTTGTGAACATTGATCTTGTGGTGTTGATCATTGGGTCCTTGAGACTGATTGTGTTTATGGTTCATTTGAAGTGTGTGATTGTGTGAGTTACTTTTAAAACCTGACTGATTTGCTTGGTTTGATTGTGTTTGTCCTTGATTTGGGGCATTGCTGGATCCCTAAGATTATAATTGGATAGTTTTGTCTTAATCTCATCTAAGGTTTGAATTCCTCTTCCTTTAACGAGCTTTTCTGAAGTTCGAAAGGTAATGAGTGAAGGATGAATTGAACTATTCTATCTCTGAAAGTCCACTGACTTTCATTTCAGCTGCTTTTCTAAGGACATGGTGTTAAGGAGTCACCTTTTTGAATTTGTGAAAATTAATGTGTTTCCTGCTACTGAATTTCATGATTTCCATGTACATTTCTCTTAAGCGGTTACATAAATGTCTAAATTCTGTTGAGGTTCATTCTTAGTATGGACTCAATCTCATTAAACATATATAGGTGATTTAAATTCAAAATTTTGATTTTTATCTTATCAGGAAATTGATTATTCGAAGACTAAGACCAAACTTCCATTCGTGTAAATTTGTACTTTCTTCGTAGCGATGATAGATTTTGAACCAGTTAAGGTCATAATCTAATGTTCTACTTAATCGATTCTGATTATGGTATTGATTCTGATTTGTAAAATTTATCAGTGTTTGATTATTCTGCGTTGTTTGTTGATTCCCTACAAAGGATTGATTCATGTAACCTTGATTGTCTGTAACTGATTGATTAAGTTGGTATGTATTGTGATTGGGAATTAAAGGCTCATCTATATCATCAAAAGAAGTCAGATTGACTTCTGGTGAGCTTATATTCTTGATCGAATGTTCTGAGAAAGATCTTGATTTGCGCTTCAGCTAATTTAGCTCTTTTTAAATCTTCATAAGTCAATGACTTATTTTCGGATTCAAAGAAACCCATATCTAATAGTTTTCTAATTGCTGGATCTGTCATTCCATTATTTCGTAGGATTTTCATTCTTTCTGGACATTCAAACCAAGCAAAATCAAATTTCTTATTTAGAGACTTACGAGGATCATCATAATCGCCATAAAACACCATCATTGTCTGCAAGGCCTCATTAAATTTTCGTGTAAAATAAGGTCCATTTGGGATATTTTGATTCCCCTCGTTTAGAATATGACTTTGTTAGCGTCCACACTGTTGAATTCCCCAATGGTGATGACTGTGGGGGTTCTTTGGGTCAACTGTAGCTTTATTTGGTTGATCTTCCATATCAATGAATAATAAGACGATATTTCGGATGATGAAGAGTTAATTGTGTTGATAGTGATGATATTGAAGTCAATTGACTTCAAGGGTGAACAAGGTTAACTTGATGACGCAGTAGAATCGATGAGTGTAAATTGGATGAGGTCACTTAGGTGTTGTACTTATTGAGCAGAAACGGCGTAAATTTGGAACAAGGTGAGGAGGTTACAAGTCAGTGACTTGAACAGGCACAATCTTTAGAAAACACTAAGCTTAAGTATCTGTATTCTTGTATATATGGAGGAACAAGGAATCTCCACCATTTGTTAAGGTTATCGCTATGAGGGGATGAAGACACAGCTTAACTTAACAACCGAGAGTAATTAAATCAATCCGTAGATTAATTAACCACCTTCGTTTAAATTTATATACCGAGTTCGGGGATAAATCTCTATGTAAAGCAGAAGTCAATTGACTTCTATTTACACATACACGTTGAATACACACAACTTAGAACTTGAATTATATAGATTTTAATTGTCGTTTTGAGGTAGATAGATAAATGAAGAACAATAGAAAAGTAATTAAACTGAAATACGGAAGAAGTAATTTGAGTAATTAAGCCAATTAAGGATAATAATGGAGAGAGTAACATAATTTGATCCAGTTACTAACTGGCGAGAAAGAAAAGAATTGTTTATATATTCTATTCTCTTTCTAACAGCGAGGAAATTTAAATGTATTAACCAATGAGGTAAAAGATTAATTTGTCTTATCAAATGAGGATTGAGATTTGAATAGAAAAGGAAATAACAATCAATTTTGATTCTCTTTCTTGATTAGTTAATTAAAGAGGAAAGCAAGCAGTCAATGACTGCTTAACCCTTATCATCAATCCACCCTCTTCATGGTTGTTAGGCCAATTTAATTTAATTTAATTTGGTTTCTTTTTCATCTGTTTAAACTGAGGCTACTTAATAGTAATCATGTTAATCAACAATAATCAAGATTGTCAACATTAGTTGAGAAAAACAAACTTTATCATTTTGTTTTGTTTTTCGTGTTAAGTTGGACAATTAGGTCAACGAATCTTATTAACTTAAGAAAACCACACAATTAATGATTAGTTAGCTAATATAAATCTTGGACAATTTAACATGCAAACAAAATCCTATTTAGACTGTTAATTTGTTAATTCACTTTCCATTAGGTTTAATTAGTCAATTTCAAGAGATTCAGAGATAATCAAAAAAGTTTTTTTTTTCGTTTTTCAGATTTGCTTTGATTTCTCATTTTAATTATCAAACTTGTTTGACATTATTGTTATCTCGGTGTGATTAGTTAATTATTGATGATTAACTTAAATAAATAAATGTATAATTATATTGTTAATTTAGATTATATTTATTACCAATAAATTCATTTTTTCATCTTAATGATAGAATTAACAATTAAGAGGATTTATTTTAAAGATCATCACTAACATCTAATTGTTGATTCTATTTTTAAATTTCTCTCTCTTTTATATATTTAATATTAATCTTCTTGTCTGTATAGTTGTAATAATCTTTATTTGGCCAATTTTTTCTTAATCACAATTAATCAAATTGCCCTGATTAAGAGCTACAATTACCAATAATTAAGAAGAAAAATCTCTTCTCTTCATCCCTATTAATTAACTAAAATCTTTGAATGACATTTATATCATTTCCATTGATTGTGGCTGATGATATTTTATCAAAAAAAAAAAGATCCAATAAACAATCAACTTAATTGTTGAATTGAACTTTTTGAAAAAACTTTTTCCTCAAATTAGTGTGAAAATATACCGATAGATGGAGCCACCAAACTGCAAGCGAAACTAAAATTTAAACGATTTGATAATTTGATTAATTGGTAATAAAATTAATTGTAATCAATTGATGAAGGTTTTTTTCACTCGATTACCAATTAAATTGTCACTGAGTATCTCGATAGTTAAAAATCTGACTGAAAATTAAGAATTTCTCTGAAAATCTACCTTTGATTGACTTTCCTCCAATGGATTAACCCCAATGGAGATAATTAATTATTGATGTTTAATCATTTTCCAATTAGCTAATCTTGATAAAGGAATAGATTGTGAAAGTAATTGTAATTTGAAAGAGAAAACTGATCAGTATCAATTGTAAGAAGAAAATTGTAATTCATTTGAAAAAGGTGATATTTATAATCGGCTGAGAGAAAGAAAGAGAAAAAGAAAGAGAGTTAAAAGAGACTCTTTCTATTTTTCTTTCTATTCTCAGTTTGAGTTTACACTTTGATTCTGTAAGATGATGAGTGTTTTTAACTGTTGTTCCTTTCAGAGTCAATTAATTGTGATCTTTTTCTCATAGTTGTCTCATTTTCTTTCATCTAATTAATAACTATAGTTAATGGACAATTTAACAAGTGAAAAGTGATTACTAAATTGTCTGCAAACAATAAACAATTAGATTAAATTACGTTTCTCTTTTCTATTCCTACCTTCAGGTGTGGGTGAGTTTTTCTCTGTGTATGTAAGTGTGTGTGGTTTTTTGCTCTCTCTCTCTCTCTCTCTCTCTCTCTCTCTCTCTCTCTCTCTCTTACTATTTTTCCTCTCAGGTAAATATACAATCAGGTTCATCACCATCATCACCACCACCACCATCATCATCAATCTCATAAGGAACCCACTTGACACCATCAACCATGGATCTACAAAACACAATATTATCAAAGTAAGTTGATAGATGAGACATCTGAACATGATGATTATCTTATAGTCTCATCATCTTGAAATAATCTAACTCCTTTTCCATTATCATTCAATTTACTAATTTCCCCAATCAATTTCACTCTACAGCTTTGATATAAACATCTTTCTACCTTTGTCACAGTATTGTTTTCTTTTTCTTTTTGGAACAAATTTTCTATTCTATCTAGAGAACAACAAAAAAAAAGCATCAGCCATGTCATCCTTTTCGTTTCTATCTTTATTTTACCTCACCTAATTTCTTATATTCTTCTCTCTTTCTTCCTCTCTTTTTTCCTCTCTAATATTTTTCTTTTGTTTGTTTTTTCTATTCTCTTACCTTACAGATTAACTTCTGGTATGCCTTCTCCTATGCGCCTTCGAGATCTTATCCGACAAATAAGAGCCGCAAGAACTGCAGCAGAGGAAAGAGCTGTAATACAAAAAGAATGTGCTTACATTAGATCTACATTCAGGGAAGAAGATTCTGTTTGGCGATGTAGAAATGTAGCTAAATTATTATATATTCATATGCTTGGATATCCGGCTCATTTTGGTCAGGTTGGTGTTACATGTATTCTTATGTCAATCAAATGATCAAGTTTCCATTTTCCATTTTCTTTTTCCATAATTACTAATATTTCTTTCTCTTTCTTTTCTCTCATCTTTTAGCTGGAGTGTTTGAAGTTAATCGCCTCACCAAGATTCACTGATAAAAGAATTGGTTATCTGGGAGCCATGTTATTGTTGGATGAAAGACAAGATGTTCACCTTTTAATAACCAACTCCCTTAAGAAGTAAGCCGAATGATTGTCAAACGAAGAGGACAAATCGCCGGATTAACATAAATCATTGAAAACCTTCAATCATCCTCAAAATACTCTCATTATGATAACTAATAAGCGATAATTTAATGTTTTCTTTTTCAATAGTGACCTTAACAGTCAAATTCAATATGTAGTTGGATTGGCTCTTTGTGCTTTAGGGACAATTTGCTCTCCAGAGATGAGCAGAGATCTTGCCGGTGAAGTCGAACGCCTCATGAAATCATCAAATGCATATATCAAAAAGAAGGCCGCCCTTTGCGCTGCCCGTATCATTCGTAAAATACCCGATTTCATGGAGATGTTTCTTCCAGCATCAAGAACTTTATTAACCGAAAAGAATCATGGTTAGATTGTCATTTTCCGTTCTCATTCTTGTAAAGACATTTTCTAATTGTGTCTCTTTCCTTTTTAGCTGTTTTAATAACCGGTGTTACCCTTATCATTGAGATGTGTGAACGGAGTCAAGAGACACTTAATTATTTCAAAAAGGTAACAATTAACATGCATCATTTGAAACAATTTCTCTTAAATTTTAAACATCACTAATTATTGATAAAATTGTTATATTGCTTTTGCTTTCACTCTTTGCTTTTGCTTATGGAAAAATTTGAAGTATCATGAGGTAGTAACGCTAATTACCAATTGGTTTGCATGTAAAGTGATTTGTCATCTTTTTAATTATATTTGTTTTCTCATTTTCTTTTTCAAATCTTATTAGATGGTTCCAAATCTCGTTCGAATTTTGAAAAATTTAATCATGGCTGGTTATTCACCGGAACATGATGTCTGTGGTGTTAGTGATCCTTTTCTTCAAGTTAAAATCCTCAGATTATTACGTCTTCTTGGACATAATGACCCGGAGGCCAGTGAAGCAATGAACGATATCCTTGCTCAGGTAATTAATTGTTGATCCCCTTGGATACCTGTCATTTGATAACTGTAACAATACTAATAAATATTTATATCTCTTTCAATAGGTTGCAACCAACACCGAAAGCACAAAAAATGTAGGCAATGCAATTTTATATGAAACAGTAATTTCCATCATGGATATTAAGTCAGAAAGTGGCCTCCGAGTTTTAGGTATCAATATTTTGGGTAGATTCTTGTTGAATACGGACAAAAACATTCGATACGTGGCATTGACAACGTTACTTAAAACTGTCCAAGCTGATTACAATGCCGTCCAAAGGCATCGAAGTACAATCGTTGAATGTTTGAAAGATCCCGATGTTTCCATTCGTAAAAAATCAATGGAATTGTGTTTTGCTTTAATCAATGGCAATAATATTCGTTCCATGACAACTGAATTAATATCTTTCCTTGAAAAGGCTGATCCTGAATTTAAATCTGTGTGTTCATCAAATTTGTGCATTTGTGCTGATAAATATGCCCCTTGCCCCAAGTGGCACATTGACACCATGTTGAAAGTTTTACAAACGGTAATTTGCAATATTGATTTTCTGTTTACTTTTTGACAACAATTAATGGACCGATTTGTTTTCTTTTCTATTTTCAGTCTGGTAACTATACTCGTGATGATGTTGTAGGTAATTTAATTCAACTCATCTCGGAAACCACATCTCTTCATGCTTATGCCGTTCAACAGTGTTGGAAACATCTTGCTGACGATTTACCATCTAAACAGCCATTAGTCCAAGTTGCCATGTGGACAATTGGTGAATTTGCTGATTTACTGAATGAAGTTTGTCCAGGGTCTGGTGATGATTTATCTGAACCATTAAATGTTCAATCAGATGAGATTGTTGCTACATGTGAAGAAATTACTGCTTCAAGTTTAATGTCAATCGTTACTAAAGAGTATACAATTAACACTTTGATTAAGCTCAGTGCCCGTTATCCAAATTGTGCACCTAAAATTAAATCAATAGTCGATGCATTTGGTTGTCACATGAACGTTGAATTACAACAGCGATCAGTTGAATTTTCAACCATCTTCACCAAACATAATCAACTTCGCCTTAGTTTACTGGAGAAAATGCCTCCGATGAAATCTCGAGATGAGAAACGAGAAAATCTTTCCAATGGGCAAACAGGGGAAGAGGATTTACTGGAAACACTTTCGAAAGTTGGATCAAATTCAACCTCAGAGGCCAAAAGTGATAATACCGCTTCAAGTGCAGCTCTTTTGGATCTCCTTAGTACCGTAGATATGACAAGTCCATCACCTTTCCCACCCACAACAAACCAAGTGCAAAATACAACAAACAATAATAGTGCTATTGTTGATCTCCTTGGATTAATTAATTCTGAACCCACTTCAAGTAGCAATGGAACCCTAATTAACACCACCAATAACTCTTTATCCGAAAACAATGATTCTAATAGTCTAAAATATAATTCACTCATTGAGTCAAATCTTTTCGATGGATTTGATTCTTTGATACACCAATAGTAACCAGCGCAGCCCAAATTACACCACAGATTCCAAGTTTGGTGGCTTATGATGCGAATGGATTAAAATTAACTTTCGATTTTGAGAAAAATGATTCCGATCCAAAAACTTTGATTATCCGGATTAAAGCTCAAAATAGTTACGATAAACCAATGTTAGATTTTCGACTCCAAGCTGCAGGTCCAAAAGTAAGTATCACAAATGATCCCATTAACAATCAACTAATTTCTCTAAATTAACTTTTCAGACATCCCAATTACAATTGTTACCACCATCAAGCACCACGATTCCAGCCAATAATTCAGGTTCAGTGGAACAAATTTTACAAGTTATAAACCCAAACAAGGTTAGTTGTTCATCATCAATCCTTTTTCCTTTAATTATTCACCAAATTAATTGTCTTTTCCTTTTCTCTTCCTGATTATAGTTAAAATTAAGAATGAGAATTCGATTTTCTTATGAATATAATGGACAAGAGATTTTAGAGCAAAAGGATGTTAATAATTTCCCACCAGAAACATGGACCTTCTGATGATTAAGTTAATTACAACAAAGATTTACCATTGAAGAGAAGGAAAAAAGAACACTAAACAATTAAATCAATTCTACCAAATGTGCCTGTGATTTGTTAGAAAATTATAGATTTAAATTAATCCAATTATTCAAGATAATTACACACGAAACTTTGAACCTCTTGACTTTTTTCTTCTTCAATTCTAATTGATTATTTTCTGCTCATCGAACTTTATCTTCACAATCTAAAAACTTTTTACTCCATGATTAGCATATACATTATGTATTAATCATGTTGCTCTTTAAACAATCAACTCCCATTTTTGATTATTCTCTTAATCATATAAATCCTCCAATCGATTGTAAAATTTTGGCACCAATGTTTGATGATCTGGTTGATTTTTCAAGATCTTCTTGCTAAATGAAAGTCTGGATGATTTATAAATCTACACAGGAACCAGATTAAATTCCAGGGAAAGTTCAATTGGGATTGAAAATTTCTTAACTGTCATCATTCAAATCATCTTTCATCTCTCTCTCATCTTATAATCTAAAGAATCAAGAAGATCCTCAGTTTAAATTGATCAAACTTTTTCACCATCAACCTCAATCCGACGTGTCTAAGTCTTGAATGTGGCTCTTAAATCAATATTAGTCTGATTGCAAATAATTAACAAATTTAATTGAAAATGAAAAAAAACTTAAAATCTTTTGATTTTCATTTGAATGTTTAAAAGTAAAAGTGAAAAAATAACCAGAAAACTGAATGAGCTGCAAGTTCACAATTTAACCAATTCTCTTTGTAGTTAATCAATTGAAACAAAACAAAAATCTTATTAACATTTGTATTAAATGGTTAATTTAATCTTAATTGTTTCTTTTCCATTTTCTTAATCACCTTAATAACATTTTCTAATTTCAATTGTCTTGTGAAACTGTTTCCACACTTGAGTTACTGAACAACGACAATTTATTAATAGATTTCCAAACCTTGAACATTTGAATATTTCAAAGGATTTGGGAATTGATCATGAGGATCAAACAGTGTATATCAATACATGTTTATATCTTTTCTCTATTCTCTTGATTTTCATATTCTAATCAATTGCAGTATATGAGCTTTACTATGTGTGAATAATTAACTTAATGAATAAATAATTGAGTGAGTTGAAAAATCGAAATATTTATGCATTTAAATGTATTTCATGCTATTAATTAATAAGATAAAACCATGAAAAGTTCATTGCAAAATCAAGAAAGGTAACTACGATTATATTATAAATCAATAAGATTGTTAGTTAGTTTGCTAACAATTGATTGTATAATTTGTGGGATTCATTCAGTGGATCCTATTAGCTTAATTGTAATCATTTTAAGTATTGTTTCTTAATAATTTCAAGAACCATGTTTGATTTACTGTCAAGATCAAAATCTTTGACAAGGATGAAAGTTAACAATGTAAATAATTGGCTGGTTAAATTGTATCGTCAATATTGGTATTTAGATTTTGATTCTGCCGTTAAGAAGCTTAAATCAATCGAGAAATCAAAGTTTATCATGAAAAAGACAACAACCAATAAATATCACCGTTTCATGTGCTACATGTTGCTAGTTATCAACGTAGTGTTCAATCTTCGATGGTTAATTCTCGCTCTAACGGACGATTCAACATTACAATTTATTCTATGTGATTATCTTGTTCCGATTGATAGATTAAAAATTCTGTACATTATTTGTTTCACAATTTGTTCTGTCGCCATTGGGTTGAACGCGTACAACATTTATCTGAATAATTTCCATGATTGTCCATTTTTAAAGAATTGGAAGATTACGATGAATATATTTTCGTTAATAGAAAACTGGCCCACCTAACAAATCATCATGAACGCATTCTTCGAGCTTATTACATATATTTCATAAGAATTTATAATTTTGCTGTTTATTTCGGTTTATCTTTTTTTCTTTTCGCACATTCGTTAATAGCGATATCGTTTCAAAAAGAAAGTCTCACTTTATGTTTCCAATTACTTTTCATAAGTTTTTATTTCTATGTACTTCATTTCAGTTTTTTCAGTGCTATGTGGGTAGAACTTTATCTTTTATTAGTAATAGTACTCGCAAATGTCAGTTAGATTCATTTGCTTTCAGACTGAAAATTGGTTCGTTAACCTGTAAGGATAAGAAAAAACTTTTCTCTGAATTTCAAAAGTTCAAGACCTGGACTGATTCGTGTAACCGGCAAATCGGCTTACCAGCTTTGTTGGTTTTTGTTTCACTACTTTTATCGTTGTTCTAGCGACCTACTATTGTTCACAATCTAATTTCGCTAATTTTTGGGTGAGTTTACTATTTCGTGGATCATCAATTACTGCTACGATTTTATTCTTGGTATTTAATTATGTAATGTCCGATATTCCTAAGAAGGTAAGGATTCTGAGCTATTTCGTTGCAAAGTATTGTTTAATATTGTATGTTTTTTGACTTTATCGTTGAAGTGTCGAAAAATTCACATCATGATTTATAATCTTCACCATTCAGTACATGATGATATTCACTTGATGTTAAAGGTGAGCAGACAGATAGAAAATCAAATATGAACATTTTAATTTTCTTTAAATAAAATTAGAGACTTGACATTCTGGACACATTATTGAATCGAAACATTGGTATATACATAAATAATAGTATATTGGTCGATAACTATTGGTCATTGATCGTAAGTAGTTTGAACATCTTGTAAAGAAATCGCAAATTAACTTCCCATATTCTAACCATTAAATATTACAGTTCTTAATGGAGTGTATTGGGTTATATTTGCTTTTATGTTCTAACTTCAATAGTCTAATTAAATGACGTATTTGGTGGATTCCACCTTATTTCCAATTATCAGGCTCAGATTCAGAATTGTAACTACTGTAATGGAAATACTAATTAACTAATATGAGTTAATTGATGATGACCATATTAGTAAATATTAATGATCTAATAAAACTTCGCAAAGGTGATTGTGATGTTCTGATCATGATCACCTTCGGTATTATTGTAATAATAACATGTACATTGTATTGTATTCTCAGTCCCTTTTCCCTTAATCAACATTAAATGTAAATAAATCTATCGAAATTTTAATGTTTCAATACCAAGGTCACTCCGGTCATTTCGTTAGGTAAGATTTTCATTTGAATGTTTAAAAGTAAAAGTGAAAAAATAACCAGAAAACTGAATGAGCTGCAAGTTCACAATTTAACCAATTCTCTTTATAGTTAATCAATTGAAACAAAACAAAAATCTTATTAAATGGTCAATTTAATCTTAATTGTTTCTTTTTGATTTGTTCAATTAGTAAATTGCGAAGTATATACATTGCCATCTTTCGGTAGTAGTTACTATTAATTCATCGGCTGAATAATAACCGAAATCAGCGGATTTAGTTTTCCATATCAACAAAGTGATCATATGTTTGTGTTGTGGAAAAATTGATTTCATCCTTAATTGGATTAGTTAATCGGTGATAAACTTTAATCCAACAATGTGCTTAAAAAGAGTCTGTGTTGTGGTTCTTGGTGATTTCGAAAGAAGTCCAAGAATGAAATATCATTGTCTTTCTTTAACAAAATTAAATTGTCATGTTGACGTTGTTGCTTATTCGGGTAAGTTGATTGTAATTAGATTTACCTTGTTTAATGGGATTGATTAACTTATTTTGCTTTTCTTTTTTTCTTATAGAAACCAAATTGTCAGATGATATTGTTGATAATCAGTTAATCCATTTGCATCCAATTGATTCCTATTCTTCATTTAGTAACAGTTGAGTTTTTTATTTTCTTGATTCTTTAATCAACAGCCAATCAATTTATTCTTGAAATTATTATTATCATAATTTCAGATTTCCCAAGACTGATTGGTTATTTTGTGAAAACATTGATTCAATCGTTGGTGCTTTTGTTTACCTTATTCTCGATTGAGAAACCAAATTTCTTATTGTTACAAGTGAGTTTTACCTAATCAGCTAATCTACTAAGACTAAATTATTGTTTAATTATCTCTTAGAATCCGCCGAGTATACCGACAATTCCCGTTGTTTGGCTCTATTCATTAATCAGAGGTGTTAAATTTGTGATTGATTGGCACAATTATGGACACACAATTCTGGCTCTTACATTGCGAGCTAATCATCCGCTGGTTAAAATCTGCCGTTGGTGTGAAGGGTTTTTCGGGTCAAGAGCTTTTCACAATTTCTGTGTTAGTCAATCAATGGCCAATGATTTGAAGCGAACGTGGGGAATCAAGTAAGTATAAAATGAATGAAAAGAAAAACAAATCAACTAATCAAATTTAAATGTTCTAATTTACAGATGTGATGTTTTCTATGATAGGCCGACTGAAATTTTCTCTCCATTACAACCAGAAAGTCGCCATAAATTTTTGCTTAAAATGGCGAAAAAGTTTCCTCAATTTCGAGGTAAAGAAGTAAACAAGTCAAAATTTTACGAGATCGCTTCAAGCGGGGACATTGTCACCAAAAAGAGTCGACCTTTCATCTTAATTTCTAGTACAAGTTGGACTGAGGATGAAGATTTTTCCATACTTCTCAATGCTCTAGATAATTACGATACTCAAATTTCAACTGAACGAGCGCCTTTACCTGCGCTTATTTGTGTCATCACTGGTAAAGGTCCACTTAAAAGTTACTATGAGGAAATCCTTTCAAAAAAACGCTGGAAAAAAGTAACCACCATCTTACCCTGGCTCGAGCCAGAAGATTACCCAAAAATGGTCGCTGCTGCCGATATTGGTGTTTGTCTTCACACATCAAGTAGTGGACTTGATTTACCGATGAAAATAATCGACATGTTTGGCTCCTGTGTCCCAGTTCTTGCCATTCATTATAAATGGTTAGTTAAACCAATCGATTTTCTCTAACGTAATTAATGTATCAATTGTTTTCTCTTCTTCTTTTCTCAGTTTAAATGAGCTTGTTAGAGATGGAGTCAATGGGAAAACGTTTAAAAACTCAGAAGAATTGGCAAATCTATTGAGAAATCTTCTATTACCACCTCGATCTAAATTGTCCAACATGAGAGACAATTTAAACTCAACTAGGAATAAATTTTCATGGGACTCTGAATGGAATCGAAAAGTTAAACCACTTTTTTCATGACCGAACCACAATTATTTACTATTAATAACAATTAATGTAAATTTTTATCAAATTGTCTATTTTATCACAGGAAAAAATCATCATCTCAATTCTCGAGATGTTGATTAAACTTTTTCTGATCTCTGATTTTGTATAATATCATTGCTTTCGAAATCAAAATCAAACAGTTGACTTGATTTTATCTAATTAAATTGTTACTATAGAAATATTCACATCTCGAATTTGGGATTATTCAAAATCAGAGCTTAATCTTAAGTGAGAAATTATCTGATTTCTCTATTGATTAGATTAAGTTAATTAAATTGCCCTAAATTGCGACATCAAAGTCTAATAACTTTCAATAGCTAATCACTAGTGTCTAAAAATTGATAAAATTTTTAAAAACATTTATCTCAACAATTAGGATAAAGATTAATACTTAAGTTGTTGTTACTAATACTTGATATTCATTATGAATAATCAACAAATTGCCACTTATCATTTAATCAATTTGAATGACCCATCAACTGATTAGTTGTCTATTTAATCACTTACAGTTTGCTTTTCTTTGGACATTGTTGGTTTGGATTCACAGTTAAGAAATTAGTTCTTATTTCTATTCCAAATTCAGTTGATTTAATAGCAATTAATCCGTGTTTCAATTCTCACTACGAACTCTCATATTTCTAATTGTTTCTCAGTAATTTAATTTTCCACCAAAATCATGAACAAGTATTTACAATGGTCGCCACTTCAGACCATCGTCATGTTTATCGAGTCTTGTTATTTTGTCCTCTACATCAGCGCTGCTTTTACGCTTTTCAAGATATACCATGGATTGAGTACAATGGTCTTACTCAAAATTGTCCACATCTTCGGGATTTACACTAGAAATCGAGCTATCGTCAAATGGTTCTTTTGGTTTGGTGTGCTGCATCACATCGTTTCCACGATTGTAATAGCGTTTCTCTCTTTCGAATTCATGTTTCCTGGTGGTTCGTTTGATAATAAGAATTTCGAGCGTGTGATGATCTTTGATTCGATTAATGGTTTTTTTCTTGGAATATTCTTGGCTTGGAATGTGAAGGGAATATTCGAACTTATTTGGCAAAGACTTTTCATTACCGAACTGGATCACGAATTCGCATGGCCTGGAGCGGCAAACTTGAAGCCTGATGATATTCTCAGTGCATCTTTGTAGACTTTGACATGTTGAAACTTTTGCTAAATTTAATGAAGAAAATATAATTTCTGATCAATAATTTACTCTTTTGATTTTATTCCGTTTTTTTATTCTCTTCAGTTTTTTCATTGGGTGAACATTTTTTCGGTGAAAGGTAACATGATTTATCTCCATGGGCCAAGAATAATCTCCCATTCTCACAGGTACACAAATGATATCCAATGAAACCTTTCTGATTGATTCCATTGTCTGAGTGTTGATTGTGATGATTGTGTCGATGTCGCTTGATTAGTGACCTAAATTGAATTCGTGAAGAATCAATTTCTATCGATTTAATCGCTGATAGACTCAAATCTACCAATGAATTCATGTTAATCTCTCCAACTTTAGATCGTACGGTAAAATTTTCTGATTTCGCTTCCATGGTTAATCCTTTCATACGTGATTCCAATCTGTTGATAGATTAATTTACATTTATATTGTAATTAGTTGATTCAACTACTTTTCAATCAAATTAGTGTTAATCACCTGAGGTCATGATGATGATCACCTTTGATTGAAGTTGTTTCCAAAACTTCATTAACCACTAGCCCCCAATCAGTTGATTTCAATTCCTTTACTGAATCAGTGGTCAGTTGATTAGAGTTGATTGAAAATTGTGTCTCTTTACTTGTATTGGTTAATTTTTTAACAATTAAATTGGGACCTTGATAATTAATTGTATTCTTGTCTATGGATCATAATAATTGGATAGAGATCATAATATTATCCATTCATTGTTACTGTTAATTGTTACTTACTCATTGTAAATCCATTGGATTTAGTTTCATCGTGTTCACCTTGATCATAATCAACTAATTGTATCTGATCATCAGAGCCAACAATTGATAACCATTGATCTCGATGAACTGGATTAATCTCTTCAGCAGTTAACCAACCATTGAATTTAGCATGTCCTTTGACCGTCATCCGTTTAATTGTGGTCAATAAATTACCATCACCCAGTCCACCCTTTTCTCAATTAAATGATCAATTAATTGATTGTCTCTCTCAAAAATTTATAATTACAAGTGATTAACTTACATTTGCAATTTGAAGTGAGTGGATTATCCATAAACTAAGGATTAGATTAAGAGAAACAATGAAGATTAAAGTGAAAACCAAAATGGTAAAAAAACGAGATTTGATTAAATCATTTGATCCATCAAAGAAACTTGATTGTTGATTATCATCAGTTGATTTATGATTTGTCCATAATTGACTCAATCTGATTTCATTCTTGTCCATGATTAAAGGTAATCAATTAATTCATATGATTATTAACAAAATTGATTAAAAGGTAACCAGAAAAAAAGATCAATAAAAAGGCGGATCTTCAATCAGCTGAAGCTTCGTAGACATGATCTGATCTGAACTGAACTGAATTAAATTCAAATTCGTAAACAAATAACACTGATAATCTAAATTATCAGTAAGTTAATTGTCGCAATTAAATGCAAATTAAAATCTTATCTTAATTGCAAATGTTGTTATCTTATTTGTCTTAACAATTTACTGGTAAATCTTAATCAATTGACCACAATCAAGGAACATGATAAAAACTTTGTTATCGATCATGATGATTATTATTAGTTAACAATTAACAATTATCACCACCAAAGTAATTAAAGATGAGAAACGATTAACATTAACAATCAATTTTTGCCAATATTTAACCATCACAATTAACTTTTGTAATGATAATCATGATAATGAAATGAAAAACCTTCACTTTTGGTATGAATATGATTAATTGTTAACTTTAAAAAAGTGTTTAATTATCTTACAATCGGTTGAATGGTTAATTATAATTAGAATCATGAAATGTAGTTTCTTAATCATTAACAATCAGTAGCAATTTAACTGGATCATCAATTTGGAAAACAAAAGAAGCAAAAAAAAAGTTAACTAACATGAAGAACATCAAATGATTAACCAAATTGATCAACCATTAAACCAACGAACCCACAACAATTTATAAGAAACTGTCTACTGATTAACAGTTAATTAAGGTAAATGATTAACTTTTTTTCTATTCTTTTCTAAACAAATCAACAATTTAACCTTTTCCATTTATCAATCAATCGTTTTCATCTCTTGGAATCTTTTTCTCAATGAGAATCAATGTTTTTCTCTTGGTGTTTACATCTTATTGAACCAACGATTTAACATCAATTAATGAGAGAGAATTTCTTTTCATCTTCATCATCCTCATCATCCTCATCATCCCTCTTTCTCTCTAATCATCATCAATCTCCTTCCCCTCATTTTTTTCTCTATTCTCATTCAGTAATCAGCAGTTAATCCACAGTAGCTTTTGATATTCTTTCAGTGACATTTGTGATTCTCTCTCATCTTCCTCGATATTATCATCTTCATTTACTCTTAATCTTAATCAGTTGTTACATTTTCTCTTCTTCTAATTAACTGAAAGTTAATCAATTCCATCACCAACATCATCATAATCTCTCTCCTCCTCTTCCACCACCGAGGGATTTTCGGGTCTTGTCCAACAACTTGCAACCTTGTTTTCTAATCAAGATTCTTAGAATAAAGAAGAGACCAGTTTCCATCTTCATCTTTTCATCTTCTCTTCATTTTTACCAAACCTTTTTTCTCTCTCTCATCTCTTTCTAAAGAAAAAGAAGATAAACTCTTCTCTTTTTCCTCTTTCTTTTTCATCTGGTCTTCTCTCTCTCTCTTTCTCTTCATCTTTTTCAGGGAACACCACCAATAGTAACTGGTCAGGTTCCATTACCAATTATTGCCTATTTTTCTCACCCCAACTTGTTGAATTCTATCCAATATTCTATCAGTTAATTAGTTATTCTTGTGATTTATCAACAATTTATTAATCATCTTTATCTTAATTTTGGTTAATCAACTTTGTCACCTTTCGGTTTTCTAATTTCTAATTTGTTTCTCTTTCGCCTTTGGCTCCAACTTGAAGGTAAGTCTTTTGTTGCTCTTTTGTTTCTCTTTGGTTTTCTGTTTCTTTTTTTTCTTCAATTGTTTCACAATTTTATCTATAATTAATTCCACAATTTATCAACTAATTTAATTGTTACACTTTTAAGAATTTTAATTATTTCAACTTTGCTCTGATTCTCTTTTTCTCTACATGTATGTTTTTCCTCATTGTTATGCTTTGGTGCTGCTGCTCTTCTGTTACACTCATGGTTTTCTCTTCTCTTTTTTATTTCTCTTTTCTTCTCTTCTTTTCATCAACCAAAAGTCAAAGCCGATGATTTGAAGGTTAATATTGTGACTCTAAACTCTCTTCATTTGGTTAATTTCTAATTCTTAACCCGGTCTTTAATTCTGTTTCTGGTTGATTTCTGGTTAATCGCTGGTTCTTCTGGTGCCGATTCCCTTTCTCCATTTTGGTTGACCCGTTTTTTTATTTCTCTCTTTTTGTTTTCTCTCTTATATTTTGTTGTTTTTCTCAATTGGAAAAGTTAATATTATGACTATGGATAAGGATTCAAGATTCGCCGCCAATAGTGATACCACCATGTGGAATAACGATGGACCGACTGTACCAGGAATTATCCCGTTCGTGTTTTTCTTGGTCCTTACGGTTACAATTCTATTGTATTTGTACAAAGTATTGAAAAAATACTATGACAAACAAGCTAAAAGTGATACTTATGTTTTTGTGGATCATGAATCAGATGACACAGCTCGCCTAAAGAAGGTCGCTTATGACGATGAGATTGCCAACAGTCCAACATTGAATTCACTTAAACACACATCTGATGGCCGAGGATCAACAGGTGATAATGAGCCTAATCGATTGGGCGGTGGTGAGGTTAGAGTTGAAGTCGCCAATGCTCCTGAAGGGGATCTCATGCAGGTTGATGGAGCTTCACCTAGTGCACCCGAAGGCCCAGTTGATTTCAGTGATAACATGAACGGAACTGAAACATTACCTTTGAACAAAAAGAAAACAAAACTCACCGAATCCAATGTGTAAAAACAAAGCCCACGGACAAATGTTTACGAATACACAATGAACCCGCTTTCCAATTGGCATTTATTTATCGACCAATCATTTATTATCTATGCAATTTTGTCTATCATCTTTTTTCTCGGATCAAATGGTTTCTTTTCTTGTCAAACTTTTACATATACACACGAGATATTTAATCTTAATCTCCTTAATTTTTTGTCCTTCGCCGACTGCTAAATCCACAGCCACTTTCTCCAGATCAAAGTAATTCATCATATTTCAAAAATGTTCCATCAGTCATCTTTAATTATCGTATTCTCTTACCAAACTGAGGCAATTTTTTCATTCTATTCATTCACATAATCAACTTTCTACTCCACAAATATTACATTTTGTTTTCCATCTGGGGATTATCATCATCACCCTACTATCCAACAAGATTAACATCGACAATTAAATCAACTATCATATTATATATTTACCAACGAGAGCTAAAAATTAGCTTAATTTTCTAGGTTAATAGACAAGTTTTACATTTATTCTGATTCTCGATTTGAATGGAGAACGAATTTTTTTTTATTGTAAAAGCAACACGCTGATGGTAATTAAGAAATTTCTTGATTACTCTTGGAATCTCTGGTGCTGATAGTAAACAGGATCATCATTTCTACTAAATCATCTCATCGTTTTTTTCTCAAACAATTATCTTTATGGAAGAAGAAAATTATCTTAATCATAACAAGAAGATGTCAACAGAGAGAAATATTAATTTTTCCAAATGGATTCTCATCAACAAAAGACTTAATTGTTGCAGTTTAATCATTGACTTATTGGATAAAAGAGCATCTTTCAAAAATGAATTTACTAATTATTATTAACCTTTTTGTTTCTGTGCAACTACAAATTGTCACTTCCAGAATGATAAATTCATGTTAATAATCAACACACAATCATGATTGTATCAAGAAAACTTTGTCTAGATTAATATCATGACTATTATTGTAAACAACAACAACGAAAACTAATCATTCATTATAATCACCATCAGATTAAAAGCAAGATTATGTATTAGATTTCCTTGTCTTAACAATTTAATTATTGTTAGCAAAATCTAACCAAATGAATAGAAGCAACTAATTAAGTTTAATTACTCAATTTCTCATCAACTTTCACTTTGTAAATTGTCAAAGTGATCAAATTGATTGTATGTCACGGGTAAAACTCTCATAGTAAACATGAAACAGTTAAATTTACGTGACTTTACACAATTAAAACGATAATTAACCAAGGAACGAACGGAATAAATAAATTGATCAACTAATTAACTCAATTAAAAAACAAATTGTAATCATCTCGATGATGATTACATTCAAAATCAGTTAACCGCTTTTTTAAATTCCATTGGTAATTAAAACTGTTTTGTTTCCCTTTTTCTGTTGAATAATCAATCATCAATTGCTTGATAATTATTCGTTGATTAAATGATTAATCATTTCGTTGACAATTAATACACTCTAGGTCCCACTTAAGTTAAGATTTTCTGTATCCATTTAAGTTAAAACTCACTATCGCCATCTACATTTTTCTAATTAAAAATTTCTAATTACAAGGGATCAATAGATGGCGATAGTGAAAACGGTGTTAACTTAAGTGAGTTGCTTGTCGAGAGGTCAGTGTCGTGGACTCAAGTCCACGATGACACGACATGTAAACAAAATTTTTAATGGTCTAGAAGAGCGGCATTAAGCTCTTCTAATCGCCCAATAGGGTAAAAACAATAATAAAACTTAAGTGGGTACTGGAGTGTAATTAATTTCTCGTTTTCTTATCGACTTCAAGAATCTTGAATCAAGATAAAGTGTAATATTTAACTCGACACACCTCCCAGCTGATGGTAAGTTTTCAATCTCTCTTTGGGTTTGATGTTTGTTTTCATATTCTTGTTGTTAATTTAATTGTTTATATTGTTAATTTAATTTCTTTTGGGCCAATTTGAGTGATTAAGATTCGTACAATGTCAGATAGAGCCTATTTTCCGTTGAACAACAATTGTATTCGTGCTTTAACTGATAAACTGCAAGACCGAAGGAAACAAGGAGCCGTCGAGGTAGAAAAGTAAGTTAATTGTTTGGGTGAAATGAAATTTTAATTGTTTCTCTTTCTCTATCTTTCTCTAATCTCTTTTAATAAAGAATGTGCCGAGATTTTGCTATTAAAGGAGAGAAAACTTTGATCGAGAAAATGATTAAAGTTCTCCGAGAACTTGCCGCATCTTCTAATCCAAATACAAGGAAAGGTGGATTGATCGGATTAGCTGCCATGGCCATTGGTCTTAGTAAGGAGTCTAAAGGTTACACGAGTGACCTTCTCAGGCCGATAACCGCTTCCCTGTTTGATCAAGATTCTCGGGTCAGGTATTATGCTTGCGAGGCTTGTCTCAATGTGGTCAAAGCTTTACGAGAAGATTGTCTCGTCTCTTTCCATGATCTTTTCGATGGTCTCTCGAAAATCTCCGCTGATCCCGAACTAACGGTTAAACTGGGAGCTGAATCTCTCGATAAAGTGGTCAAAGATATCGTCAATGAAAGTAGCTCATTCGACTTAGAATGTTTCATTCCATTACTCCGCGAAAGAATGTATTCAAACAATCCGTTCGCCAAGCAATTTGTCGTATCTTGGATTGCCTTCCTTCAAGCCTCTCCCAATTTCGATGTCACCCAGTATCTACCTGATCTGTTGGAGGGACTTTTCCTTATTTTATCGGATCAAAATATTGAAATTCGATCAATGACCTCTTCCGTTTTACAGGCATTTCTCAATGACATAAGAGAAACCGATCGAACCGACATCTCCGCTTTAGTCAACATCCTTCTAGTTCATACTCATTCATCTGAAGAGATCGCTCAATACACTGCCTTAACTTGGCTCAAAGAGTTCGTCAATCTCGCCGGGTCCACATCTCTACTACCTTATGCCTCAGGGCTATTATCGGCTACTCTACCTCGTCTGGCTCATTTGCCTACAAGCCAGTTGAAAGATGACCACTCGAATGCCAGCCTATCGTCATCACGAACATTTAACATAAATATTCGTGAAGTGGCCAAGACATTAAATTACTCGTTAATGCAACTTGTTACCACGGAGGAAAATGAAAGATCAGAAAACTCAGTTGACACTAGACCTTCAAGTGACGAAGAATTGATTCCAGCTCAATCATCGCCATCTTTTAATTACTCATCAATAGTCGAAGTGTTGACATGTGAGCTTCAAGACAATCCATCGACTACCGTTAAACTTGCCTGTCTCGATTGGTTCCAACATCTATTGACCAAATTCCCAGAGAAAATTTTACCTCTAGTTGAAAATGATATTCTACCTGTTCTGGTGAAAACATTACTCGAACCAAGTGATTCCGTTGTACTCCATGTTTTAGATGTTCTTTCAACGATCTTCCGTTGTAATGGTCAATCTTCCAATGCAACATCGCTTCAGGCATCGATAGATGGTAATGGATTCGATGGGTTTTTCGGTCAATTTATGGACCTACTTCTTCAACTTTTCGCAACCAATATAACATTTCTTGGAGGTCGAGGATCAGGAATCATCAGTAACCTTTGTCTTAAAATGAATCCCGAAGATATTTTCAGATCACTTTCAGAAGCGCTGATTAACCATGAAGATATTTTCTTTGCATATAAAATGGTTCAAACTCTCAATTTAATTCTGTTAACTTCAAAGGAATTAAATGAACTACGATCACAATTAAGAGATTTACGAACTGATGAAAGTTGTTCACTTTTCTGTTGCCTTTACCGTACTTGGTGCCACAGTCCCGTCGCAACCATATCACTTTGTCTATTAACTCGTAATTATAAACATGCTCGAGATTTAATCTCAATTTTTGGTGATCTTGAAGTAACTGTTCAGTTTCTCACCGAAATTGATCAATTAGTCCAACTAATTGAATCTCCAATTTTCGCATGTAAGTTTAATCGTTTACTCTATCATAAGCAAATTCTAATTGATTGTAATTGCAGATTTAAGATTGGAGTTACTGAAGACCGACAAAATGAAGATTTAGTGAAAACTCTGTATGGATTATTGATGCTTCTTCCCCAATCAGAGACTTTTCACCTTCTCAGAAAACGACTACAGTGTGTCCCCAATTTCAAGATTTTCTCACCTGATGGTTCATTCAGGTAGGTTGATTATCCTTCAATATCTATCAACTTTATTCTTAATTTGTCGTTTTCTTATTTTATCAGATCAACGGAGCCTCCAACTCAACCTAACATGGACTTTGCTGAATTGACCAGACACTTTTTAAAGATTCAAGAGAAACACAAAAATCTTAAACAGACCAAAGCATTAGAAAGATTTACCCATTAATTGTTTCATGTAAATTATGAAAGTTTTTTAGAAAAATGGAACCGCTAGGAAACAAATTGTTCAAATTTTAATTGCTGGTTCAATTAATCAATTGCCTTAAAATTAATTTTACTGCACTTGCCATTCCTGATGTATTGTTGTTTTCCCAATTGAATCAAATTCAATTGTAAATCTTGTCACCGTTTGAAAACGAGTCTAAATTACAAAGATCAATTGGATCTATTTTTAATTATTTTCATCTACTACCATGAATTGCAATAATCAAGCATTCATTTTATCTTGATCATTATGATACACAATAATAATTAACAAGAAAACAAGAAAATGAATCATTTATTTACTAATTCAGGGCTATTCAACTTAATTTTACGCAGATTTGTAGTTAATAGTCAAGAACCAATGAGTTTAAAAACGCCAAGCATCGTACAAATACAAATCGGGACTGAAGGACTTCGTATAAAAAGTTTCAAGGTCATAGAGGTCATTTCACGATAAACCTATCAAGAGGTGAAGTTGAACAGCCTTGTAAAAAGCAATATTTTTATTGGTGAATAAAATTGGTTTACAAACAGTGATCATAATTTGTCAATTGATTTGGACACAAATCAGTGAATATAATTAACATCCTCTAATTGGTCTGTTTAATTTTGGCAAAATTTTTTTCCAAGTTTAAAGTTAAAGAGATGATTAATAAATATGGTTAATTGTGATGATTAGAACGGAAGATTTTGTTTCTTGATTATGGAAAACTGGTTAATTGTTGATAGATATTTGTAATAAAAGCTTAATTAGTTAATCAACTGGCAAAAAAAGATACATAATCCGATGAGATAATCAACTGTATGTATCACTCTGAAGTAATTAGTTGATCAATAAATCATAATTAATTGTTTAAAATGGCAGAAAAATGATCGATTGAATGAAAATGTTTGATTAAAATGTTCCCCTTTGATCAATTGATTGTTGTTATGCTCGTTAATTAAATAAGATTAACTGATTGATCAGCTTAATGTTGACAATCAAGTGGTTGATAAACTTGGATCCCAAACAATTAGTAAATCATTTGATCGAAAAGGTAAAACGGTAACAATAAAAATCCCAAGATGGACAAAGAATCTGAATACAACCGGGGAAAGAGCCAAAAGCGATAAACACATGATACAGACCAGAAGAGAGACTGAATAGATACAGCCCATGATTACGATTGTTAATTAGTCGTTAATTGTCACAATTAAAATCTGAAATCAAAGGAAAAAATATTAAACTATCAAATGAGAATCAACCAAAATCAAGAAATGATGAAAATCAGTACCTTTGAATATGAAGATTTGATCGGATTTGTTGATTCCCTTTAGATTTTCAATCAATCACTTTAACCGTTTGACAATTTGGTAATCTTTGTATTCATACAAGTTAATTACTCAATGATCAAAATAGAAACAAATTATTTCACTGATTATCTAATTGTTGACAATTTAAATTCATTTGATAACATCGACTGGGAAGGTTGGAAAATGATAAACACAGGGAATCGAGTTTGCGCAATCAAATCGATTTTTTATCTTCGAATTTGATTGTTACCGTTATTTTATAATCAATTAGATTGAAATTAAATTTAACGATGATTTAATTTTCTATGTAATTATCTCGTAGATCCAACATTATACAACCACTTTGCTTAGACAATGATTCGTGATAAGTATTTGGACACTTGATCTTAATATTGATACAGGGAAATTCAGCTACTTTGTTGGTTTCTTTCCACGATTATTCAAAGACCACTTGAGCGATAGAGTCCATATTTTGTCTATGGAAGATTGACCGACACTCAATTGTTATATTTTAAGGTCATAAAGGTTATTTAGGAAAGAATACACTTGAAGGTCATTTGAAGAACTTTTTGAAAACTAGAAGTTTTTTCAAGCTTACCTGTGATGTTTCATCACCTTTGTACTCACAGCAACTGATTTTGTTTTAGCGCGATACCGACGTTGCTCTGTGATATTATTAAGTTTTGAATTCAAAAGCAGGCTTGAAAAAATTTCTAGTTTTCATCTCAGGAGAGAAAGAGGGACAAGATAAAGTTCGTCAAGAGCAAAACATGGGAAATGGTTCAGTGCCTGTCGATGCAACTTGTTCACATCCACTATCGTTGGCAGCACAAAGCGAATCTTCAATGGCATCCAAACTTAGAGAGCTCGAATTGGAATTAGCGCAAACTAAACTGGCCCTTGTTGAGGCCGAATGTCAAAATCAAGAGCTTATCCACCAACTGACCAACATCCAAGCTGAAGCACAACAAGCGAAAAACTCAGACACTTCCATCTATTCGTGAAGTGACCAAGAAAGAATCAAAAGAGAGAGATCGAACTCGAGACTCGAGGGCCTCGAGTTTTCTCGTCAAGGAAGCCGCGAAACTACATTGACTGGGAAGGTTGGAAAATAATTCTGATAGAAAATGAAGTTTGGGAAGTTTGATTTTTAATCTTCTAATTTGATTGTTACCATCATAATTAATTAGATCAAAATTGGATTTGACTTTCTAGTTGATTATTCAATTTTCTTTGCAATTATATCGTAGATTAATTATTTAATTACTTTGATCAGCAATAATTTCATGACTCTCATTATCATGATAATTATGTCAAACATTTAATTTTAATTAATTGTCCTTCAATTGTTGGCAATCAATGAAATTTAATTATTAATAGTTTAACTATTTTTAAATTGTTTCCTTATCACATTAATTAATTTGATTGTCTGGAAATCACTTTGATTATCACATTTTCTTCATCATTTTAATTAACTTTAATCCTTCAATCTCACAACAATCAATTAGCTGATTGTTTACAAAATCATTTATTTAATGATTGATCAAGTTTCTCTAATTTAGTTTAAATTATCGTTGCCAACTCACTTATTATCTAAGTATATTAACAAGCCAAGTTTGCAATCATTTAATCAAATGTCAATTTCAAGCCAGCCAGTAATCAATTATTTAAATTGTGATGACAAAAAAAAGTTAATTATCATTAACTTAACTAAAGGAAAAGCGAAATCTTAACCATTTGAACAAATTCAGATCAATAATCAAATCTGATTACAACTCGTGACTTGAATTGTGATCAATGATAAAGCATAAGCAGATTCTAATTAACAGGAGAAACTACAATTAACTAAATTGGTCATTCGATTGTTAATGAAAATCTTTAATTGTCCTTGATTGAATTTCGCCACCTGTTGAATAAAAGAGTAACCATAAAGAAAAATATCAAACAGCTGATAAGTTTATTTCTTTCTGACTCTTCAATTGTATTTCTGTTGATAATTTGATTTAATTTTGGTTTTCGATTTATAATCATCATGTCTTCAAGTGATTCCAGTGACAATGAACCAACTAAACCAGGAACTTCCTCACCACCACCGTCCACAACTTCATCTTCATTTCTTGCTGAATTGGAAAATGAATTCAAGGATCGATACACTGATAAAGATAAAAGTTATGTCGCTCAATTCAATCGGGAATTAGCTAAACCACCATGTTTCCATCCATGGAACACAAGGAATCCGAGACAATTCAATCATAATCGTAATAGTAATTAATTGTTACATCTTGAAATCCATTGATTGTCAATCAATTACTCTTTCATTGTAACCACCATGCGATTCAACTATAGACTTTGGTATTAAATTTTGTCTATTTTTCTGATAAAAATTATTTCAAAAATTATTTCCATTGATCTGATGATTAAGACGATAATCACTTAACCAAAAGATTATCGGATTATAATCATGATGATTGTTATTGTTTGTCGATTGTTATAATTATATCTCAAGTATCCATGTTACCAACAATTCTAATTGTCATTAACTTTCGTTGATTGTTTTCAATAATCTAAACAAAGAAATAAGAACTGATAAGATTAGTTTATCTTTAATTGTTAATGAGAGGAAAACAATTAGTAAATTGTTTCTGTTAAGATCGTTAACTTGAAGTAATTGCAATGATGTTAAATTTTCTTAAACTTTTGTTGATCAACTCAATCATTTTCTCATGTAATTGTAAATACATTTCTCTAAATTCAAATGATTGGACTCTTAATGATAATCTAAATCTATGTAAGTCTCAATGATTTAAAATGAACCAATTAACAACAATTTAAATGGTTAATTATTTTCTTTAGATACAATTAGCAATGTTACAGTTCCCGGTGGTTTATACACTGATTTACAATCAGCTGGTTTAATTGTTGATCCACTTTACGATAATAATGATATTAATTATCGTAATTTCTCAAAACTTGATTGGTCTTGGACTAGACAATTCAAAGGTAAGTTTGTTAAACTTTAATTAGTCCCGATTGTTAAGGAAAAAGTAAATTAATTGTAACTGATTTAATATCTGATCCAGTTGAAGCTGAGGATTTGAAACAATCGAATGAAATTTATTTAATTGTCAACGGAGTTGATACAATTTCAAGAATCTACATCAATGGTCACTACATTGGTCAAACATCAAACATGTTCATCAAGTATTCCTTCAATATTAATGGTCACCTTTATGAAGGAGATAATTTAATTACCATCGCAATAGAATCAGCTGTTAGTTATGCCAAAGGTCAATCTGACGATTACAAAGGTCAGCATAATTATACAATTGTACCTGAGTGTTGGCCTGATGTTTACCATGGTGAATGTCATTCCAATTTCATCAGGAAAATGGCGGCTTCGTTTAGTTGGGACTGGGGACCCGCTTTTCCGGGTTCAGGTATTTGGTTACCGATTGGAATTGAAATTGTCCAATCACCCGTTCAGCTTGACAGCTTTTGGACCTCAATTGGTGAGTCGATTGATAGCCAGGAGTGGATCTTGAACTTAACTCTAACCATTTTGAGGCCAATTGACGAGCGTGAGGTCTCCGTTGTGGTGAAACTTTCAACTGACCAGGAACTTGATGGTAAATACGAGAGAGAACTAACAATTTACTCTGGGCTTTTTGGATTAGATTCGAGTCGATCAAATTATCCTCTTCCAACAATTAAAGTGACCTCATCTCGTGTTGCTCTTTGGTGGCCCAACGGGATGAAAATTTACTCAAACAGTACAATAATTGACCGACCTCGGGCACTTTACAATCTAACGGTGACCATTCAATCATCTGAGGCTGATGTTCAAAGTAAAAGTAAACAAATAGGCTTCCGTCGGATTAGATTGATTCAAGAGAAACCGGAAGCGGGAAAAATCCTCCGTCCTAATGGAAAGTATGATAAGGCCACTTTACCAGGTCTTTCGTTTCGATTTGAGGTAAATGGAGTCCCATTATTCATCAAAGGGACCAATGTAATTCCTACATCGATTTTCCCTGAAAATGAGTCTCGAGATAAAGATTATGTCCATCGGTTACTCTCAACGGTCAGTTATTCATCTATGAATATGATTCGTATCTGGGGAGGAGGAATCTATCAGACCGATTATTTTTACGATCTTGCCGATCAACTGGGAATCCTCATTTGGCAAGATTTTATGTTCGCTTGTATGACTTATCCAACTGACCAAAGTTTTCTGGACAACGTTAAAGATGAAGTGACCCAACAGGTAACCCGATTGTCCCACCATCCATCCATAGCTCTTTGGTCAGGTAACAATGAAGACGAAACCGCTATAGCCACCGGTTGGTGGCCTGAATTGGCCGCTCATTTTACCCAATATGTTGATGATTATCTGAAACTCAACAGAGACACAATCAAAGTGACAGTCCAACAACTTGACCCCGGACGTATATTTGTCTCATCTAGTCCCTCGAATGGCGATGAAACGGAAGCCGAAGGTGGCCTAGCAGTTAATCCCGGTGATTATCTGTTTGGTGATGTTCATTTCTATTCCTATGATGTTGATGCTTGGAATCAAAGTAAATATCCTGAGGCAAGATTCATATCAGAATATGGTTTCGAATCATATTCATCACTATCATCCTATGCTAAGGTCATTCCAATGGATAAATTGGTTTACCCGCTGACCGATTCATTAGAATCACGACAACATCATCCAAATGGTACACTAGAAATGGAGGCAATGATCGCTAATTACTTTAAATTACCAAGCGAAAAGGGAAACTTAATTGCTCTTAGAAAAATGATTTATCTATCTCAATGTCTCCAGGCGATTGCTGTTAAATTGGAGACTCAAGTTTATCTAAGGAATCGTAAAGTTGATCAATTTACTGGAACTAAATTAACCTGGGGAGCCATGTATTGGATGCTCAATGATATTTGGGTGTCCACCTCATGGTCAAGCCTTGAATTTGGTGGAAAATGGAAAATGCTTCAATATTATATAAGAAAAATATTCAATCCAATCCATGGTCAAATCTATTTAACCAATGATCATAATAACGGCAATCAGTTGATTGAAACAGTGATTAACAATGATTTTACTGGTACAGTTAAATTAAGAGTAACAATTAATGTCCATCAACTTGATTCATTTGAATTCACTTCAATCGTTTCCGGGATTCACCAAATTGAAAGGCAAGTGATTATCATTATTATTGATTATCATTGATAAGAAATTTAATTGTTTAACTTTTATTTTCTTCTTAATCATAATAGTTACGATGCTAAACTGATCTATTCGTTGGATGTTAATCAATCGATTATTAGATCAAAAGTTTGTCCGGATATCAGCAATTGTTTGATTCGATTGACGTTTGATTTGATTTGTTCAGATGATTCAGTTAATTGTGATCATTCTGATGATGATTCTGTATTCTTGGTTAAACCAAATGAATTACAATTATCTCAAAGCAGTAATTTACAAATTGCGAGCATTGTTCAAGTTGATTATCAATCTGGTTCGAGTATTTTTGGAAATGGTAAATCAAATTGTTTCAAAATTCATCTAATTGCTGATTATCCTGTTCTATTTGTTTGGATTGATTTTAAAATGGATTCAATTGTTGATGGAGTTTTCTCACAAAATGGTTTCCATTTATTTGAACCAGAAATTGACATTTATTTGCAAGCGAGCAATCAACTAATTACTGTTGACGATGTTTACAATTCCCTAATTGTCACTCATTTAGCCGAAAACATGTAAACGACAACAATTTAAATTAAAAGAGAAAATATCAAATCTTAATTGTCTACTGATTTTATCAAATCAATATTATCATTAAGATCGCGATTAATGATAAAGTATAGGTAAGACCTAATTAACCAACAATTAACTGTAATTGATTCAATTGATTATCTATTGATAGACTCATGAGAAATTGTTAATTGTCCTTGATTGTCTAAACCAATATATGTATTAATATACAGAATCAATGACTTTTTAATGATTACAATTAATGTCTCTCAGGCCCATTGATTAAATTGTAGAAATGAAATTAATAGTAATAAATGTGACAATCAATGTAATCATCATTAACTGATCACCTGAACAACGTAACTATTATAAACTTAATCAACCTTGAGGATGAACAATCAAGTAAATTTGATAGGAAATGACATGCTGATTTAGTGATTAAATCAGTTGATTAAATCAAAAGAAATCAGTGTTACTAGGAATTGTAAACCAATCATCAATTTTACAATTACCTAATTAACTTATTGGTTAAAAGTTTCCGATTAAAATTAAATTGTTTGATTTAACAATTGTGACTAATTATTTTCTCCACACATTAAATTATTACTCTGTAACCAATTAAACTAATTATGATTAGTGATATTTAGTAAATGTATGTTACATTGATGATAATCACCAATAAACAATTTAACAATTTACTTAAATATTAATAATTGATTGATAGTTGATTGTTTTGGGGGCAAAAAAACTTAACTAAATTAAGGAAACAAAGTTACAAAGTTAATCAACCATTAATCATGGTGAACATTAAAATCAATCAAATTAAAGGATAATCGATAGATTAATTTACTTGAATCAGCTGAGATATCTCTTAATTGTTACAAAATTGCTTCCATAATGATCATCATTTGATCAACAATTTAGTTTAATTGTTTCATAAGTTCATTGCCTCAGGAACAATTGATTCCAATTATCACCTAGAAGTAAAAACAAATGAATAACTGTTGATATACACGAACTAGATTATTGTTATTATTACAATTAACTTCCGCTATTTAATCATCATGTTGATCATCATCAACAATTTAGTTTAATCATCACCAGAATTCATCATCATCATCACAATTTTTCATCTTCCTTCTTCCTTTTTCTTGATTAACTTTTTTCTTTCTATTCTATTTACATCTTTTAATCATCAATGATTAAAGCTAATGAACCGTAAATTACATTAGTGAATGTAAATTAATTAGATGATAGTTGTCACCTTTAATTGTTGCTCATGATTAAGACAAATAATCAGTGCAATTACATTTTTCCCTTTTTTTTAATTTTCTTTTTAATCAATTGTTCTGGTTAATTGTTACCCGTTTCTTGCTGTTGTTCATTTTTACTGTTTAATTGTTGATTTCAAGTTTTCTGTTTATATTTTGTATTGCAAGAGTTGATTATTGATTGTGATTATGATGTTCATTGAGCTGATGATGATTAGTGTTTGTATTAACAACAATTAATAACAATGACATTGGAATTAGTGATTGTGACAAAATAACAACAACAACAATCAAATCTAATTCAATTGTTTTCCTTTTCTGCTAAATCATTAAACATTATTGTGGACATTGTATTAACATCTTATCATCATGATCGATGTTCAAATTGAGAGTTGAAAATGATTATCAATCAGCGACAATTTAACAGATAATCAGGTAACCTTGATGAGAGAGAGAGAGAGAGAGAGAGAGAGAGAGAGAGAGAGAGAGAGAGAGATGGTGAGGATGATAAAGGTGAAGATAAGAAAAGGATGAGGAAAACGAAAGAAAAGTTCGAAAGAGAAAAGAAAAAGAAAGAGAATAAAAAGAAAAATGGAGAACACGCACTCTCTCGACTCGATTTTTCGAGGAGAGAGAAACTCACTTGACTCTTTTTCGAAAAATAAAGAAAGAGAAGAAAGAACGAGGCTTGAAAGAGAAAAAAATTCAGAACTGTAATCGATGTTGTTCCGTGTTCAATGTTGCCTTCGAAGCTTATTGTCAATAGTAATTTGTTTTTCTATTTCACTTTTAATTGTCTCTCCTAATCATCAGTAGATTATCAGTTTTGTATGAGAGAGAAAGAGAGAGGAAAAAGTGATAATTAGTGATAATCCAAGTAACAGAATGAGAATTTATCGCTTCATGTTTAGTTTATCATTCTAATTGTTGATTATCACTCGATGTCCTCGGGTTACTTAACCGACTCTCAATCTCTCCCTCCCTCTCTTTAAATCACTTTTGGCTCACTTTCAATTCAACAATCAACGAGTGAACATCAACTATTTAAGTTATATTTATTTTCTATGTGACTCTCAACAAGATCAAGTTCACAATTTAAGTTAATCATCACCATCGAATTTGTTTTTTAATCTCAATCATCAATTTTGTCTTTTTCTTTGTTACAACAACAACAATAATCTTTTGTCATCACCCAAAAAAGAGACATTGACTTGTAAATGTATGGAGACAACAACAAACCAATAGAAGAGCAAAAAAAAAAGGTAAACATAGAGAAAAGAATCATCAACCTTTTCTCTTTCTTTCTTCTCTCTCTTTTCCATTTAATCTTCCATTTTTTTCTGTTTACTTCTCTTCTTCTCATCATCATCATCATCTCCTCATCAGTAATCAACAATTTCGGTGATACTCCTCTCGATCAAACTGTGATTATACAATAGAGATAAAACTTAACTGTGGTTTAGTGGTTTCATTATTATTCCTGGTTTGGGTTTCTCTTCCTTCATCTCTTTCTTTTCTTTCTCTTTTTCTCTTTCTTTCTGTGATAATTAACATCGACAATTACTCCCTCTCTCTCTCTCCTCACTCAATGTGATCTTTCAGATTCTTTCTTCTACATCATTCATCACATTATCAATCTATCATCAGATGAAATCTACACAATTCATTCAATCATCATTTCTTTTATTCTTTAACTTTATAACTCATCTGTCAGTTTGTTTTGTTAATTGTTCTCAAGTCCTTTTATTTCCTTCTCCCAGGTAATTGTGGCTCTGATTTCTGTTTATTCTGTGTATTCTTGTATTCACCATCAATCAACATTAGATGTCTACAGAATCATCATAATTCTGATTAATCATCTGTCAGTTTGTTTTGTTAATTGTTCTCAAGTCCTTTTATTTCCTTCTCCCAGGTAATTGTGGCTCTGATTTCTGTTAATTCTGTGTACTTGATTCTACAATCAATTCAGTTCGAAATTGTCTCGATTCATCTGATTACTTTGTGTTTCTTGTTTTGTTTTACCTTTAAATTGTATTATCACTTTTCTCACCAAAACCATAATCGACTTGACTTGACTAATCCATTTTTACCTCTTCTCTTGTGAATAGATGTCAACATTGATTATAATCAAATTGAAAGAAAATCAGTAAACCATTTTGGTTAATCAAGTGATAAAAGAAAAAGAATCGGGATTCTACTTATACCTGAATTGATTTGAAAGAAGTAAATTGTTAATCAACGAGTAACAATTAACATCGAATTCTAAATTTGGTTATTGGACAATTGGTTCGAATCTTTTTTTCTTCTAATTTTCTTCCTTATTTTGGATTCTATTATCTTCCATTCTCATCATCAACATCATCTTAATCTAATTGTTTCAATCTATTCAAACATTACAATTGTGTTATCATCGTAATCATCATCATTATTATTATAATAATTGGATGAATGTTCAATGAGAGAATCAGTTTAATTCATAATCTCATCTGATATCGAGGATGAAACGTGTTGATTTAATTGTTCACCTTATCCAATTGACTTTAATCGCCTTCCTTGAGACCATCTCATGTGATTTTACCCACGGCCTGGAACCGGAAGACTTCAGCATGGCCATAATCAATGTCTCTTATATCGACCCCGAAACTGGTCGACTTCACATTCAACGTGAAGAGTTTGGCAAATATTTCAACATTGGACGAATCGATCCAGTGAGTGGTCTAGTTGTTCACATAACTGGACCTGAGGGCGATTCTCATGATGCCTGTCAACCAATTGATCCATCAACATGGCCCAATGAACGATGGGTCGCATTAGCTGTTTATGGTAATTGTTCCGAAGAAAAGAAACTTCGAAACATCGCCGAAACCAATGCATCGGCAGCAGTGATCTACAATAACGAAATTAATACTCGATTTATTCAACTTCACCCGAAAGGTGAGTGTCCATCATGTGTACACTTGGTCATTCATTTCGTTCTCTTCCTTCCTTTTCTATTGATTTTACTACTTATCAACTTCCGATGATTGTGTTTATGTTTCTGGTCATAAGATGATGACCAATATGGTAGAAAGTTACTCATCACACTTGAACTGACCAAAGGAAAAAGAGAGCTCATTTCAATTCTACTTGGTCATTTCTCTTCCTTCATTATCATCACTCTTGTAGTATTTACGAGCAGATTTGTACAACAAAAGTGGCTCTCTCATTGAGCAAAAGGCTTTTTCATTCACCTTAATTTGAACTTGGATCAAATTGCCAACATAATAGTTAAAGAAAATTGTTTCATTAACCAAAATTGCGAAAAAGAAACATAAGAATGATTCAAATTCTTGAAAAGAAAACAAGGTTTTCTTTCTTGTAGTAATTGTTGTTGTAATTTCTCATTCAAGGAAAGCCCTGCATTGGGTTACATCTTTTCCCTGGTTGACAGGGTTACAGAAATATAACAATTTCCTGTTAGCAGAAAATCATCAAACACAAATTGTAATTTCGTTGGTTGATTGTTGATTTTTTGCAAGAGGAAAAACATAGAAGTTTTCACTCAATATTTACAAATGAATATTAAGTTTATATTTTTAGAGTGAAAAGAAAACTCAACCTTTAAAGTAGTTACCTGGTTCCATTTAATTTTCTCATTTTCTTTTTATCTGATTTACCTCAGTAGACACGCTTGAACTCTCCTTTAATCATCACTACTACTCACCATGTCTTCAGGGTCTTCTTTTCATGAAGAGCAGAAAATTGATAATAACAAGAAAGAGAAAAAAAGAAAGAGATTAAATTAAAACAGCAAATTTGTTTCTCCATTGAATTTACCGTTATAAAGGTAAACATTGATTCAGAATGAAACAGTTTACACCTTGCAATTCACTTGATACTTTATAATATTAAATGAAAACCGTGATTACATGATAACTAATTACGTAAATACACCTTTAAGCCTCCACCTCGAATAGATAATTAGAAACACGTAGAGAGACTTAAAGGGTTCTAATAGAAAGAGAAAATTAACTTAAATAGACAGAGAAACTTTTCGAGTCTTTCGATTCTTTTTTTTTACCGTTATAAAAATGAAGAAAAAGAGTAAATGAGAAAATCAAATTTCTCTCCTTGATTAATCTTAACCTTGTTTCTTTTTTTTCTTTTTCTCTCTTCATGATTAAAAATGTCTGACATCCTTCATCTTTAATTCTGTTTATCATCATGATGATAATTCATTTGAAAGAATCATCATCATTTTCTGGCTCGTTATCCATTCAATATGTTTGTTTTTCTTTCTCTTTTTTAAACTGGTCAGTTTTACCTTTTTAATGATTTTCTTTTTTTTTACTTGACCAATTGGTTCTCAATTTATTCACAATTTTCAGTCATCCCTCATTTCATCATTATTATTATCGTTCCATGAATGACGAACTTGCCTGATTCCATAATAAGAGTAATCCCCTTTCTCTCTCTTATGAAACCATCTTCGAAATGAGAGTTTTTTTTTGTTCTTTTCTGTTTTTGATTCCATAATATTAGTTGAGTATCTTGTTTCCTTCTCATTTGGTTAATTTGTAATACTCAGTCTTGTTATTATCTAGTATATATTTGACTTCTATTCTATTCTGATAAAAAAGTTCTGTTCCATCTTGCAGCGTAAAACTCATCTTCCATCTTTGTATATCGAATAACATTTGATGTTTTCTCTATTTCTTATGTTTCTCAATTTATTTTCTTCTTTTCTGATGGAGATAAAAATATATTTCACTTAATATGGACTCAGAAATCTGAAAGATAATGAAAATAAAAGAATAGAATAGAAAAAATAACAAGAAAATGTTATATAAACTCGTAAATGTTATGATATCTCAGGCATCATGTAAAGTGATGTAGTCACGTTCTGTTCTCAATTATGGTCAATCAAGGAGAGAAAGAAAAGAAAAAAAAATGAAACATCGCAAGAGAAATGATGCAAATCCTCTAGAGTCTGGTTGACATCATCATTATTAAGTTCGAATAGAGAAAAAAATCGAGGAACAGCTGACGAAGGCTGTCAAACGAATAGAACTTTTCTTCCAATAAAGTAAAGACGAACACTGAAAAAAAACAACAACAAGCAAATTCGTTATTGATTTAGATTATGATTCTTCTTATTCAGTGAATATTATTATTTCATCAGCCGAAGATGAGGACAAAAAATTCTTATAACATTGATGACAAATGATGAGGATGAAAAAAACCAAGTGATTATCTACTAATAGTATGTAATTTATAATCAGAAAAAATTGATCGCCATGAATATTATATATTACATGTTGCTGAGTATTTGGAATCGCTTCAAGGGACTGAATACATTTGAACATTTTTCATCCTAATCAAGTGGATTTCAATTATCTTTCTCTATTTGCATTAATATTATCATTAAATGGATTATGATGATTAGTTGAAGATGATGATAATCATCATTTCTCATCATCATCTGAGCCATTTTCTTACTGTTCGCCATCAACAGGGTAATGTATTCATGCTAAAAATACTGAGAGAAAATGTTATGACATATTTCATGGTAATTGTACTTAATCCATGAGAAATTTATTTATCTATGAGTCTCATTTGAAAAGCTGAACAATCAAATTATCATAATTAATCAGCTACTAATCAGTTAACTAGAAGTGCTCATGATTATGATAATTAAAATTGTAATAATTGTTGTTTGTTTGTTAAATTATCTCAAGTCATTTGACTTTTTTTTCTGGTGTTTCCCAAATAAAGTTACATTTAATTAACTCATCTGATTTTAATTGTTATTATTATTGTCAAACTGTCAAAGTTTACTCATTAATTAGATTATCAACTGAACTTGATTGTTGATAATATCATTTGATGAAACACAATCAACACTACTTTTTGTCGTTGATTAATTTAACATCATTATTGTGCTTTTTTTTCAATTCACTCTGATTGTAGAGCTAAATTAAACTAAATTTAGTTCCTCCATCATCACTAATTAACATGACACGAAAGATAAATTGTTTAAATCAGGTAAATGATTAAGTTTTACAATCAATGAACAAAACATGAAACCATTTGAATATCTTGATTAACAATCAACTGCGTGTGTGTCTTTGTATTAATCTTAATCAGAATAACAATTTAGAATCAACAATCAACGCAAATAAATGATAACAATTTTGAAACAATTCAATGTAATAGAAGTGAAAAATTAATTAATATCTGATTGAATTACTAATATTATTCAATAAGCTGAACCATTGAGACAGAAAAAAATATTTAATCTCATAATGGAAACTATTATCATCGTCATCAAAGGCTTTTGTAAGCATTTATTTCATCATGATGATGATGATTTTCATGATGAAGTTAATCATGAAGATGAAGATGAAGATGATCAACTTTTTCATCTGTTAATGGCATTTCCATCAATTGGCTTTCATTATAACATTTTTCATATACTTTTCACTTTTTCTTCAATACGAAACCATTTCAACAACTTTTTCCATCATCCTCATCCTCATCCTCATCTTTATCTTCATTTTCATCCGCATCACTTTTACCTTATTCAGCTTCCTGAGTTTATTTTTATATCTTCCTGATTGTTTAAATCAATTGCGATAACAATAACAATCTAATTCATTTCTTTTCACATTTCAATCAATTCCTTTTTTTTGTTGTTCTTATTTACCAGTAACATTACATTTAACCGGAACAAATTCTGATGATGATCAATAGTAATCAGCTAATCAGCTGAGTTACATGATTAACATTAATCGTTATCATATAATTATTATTATCTTTATTTTTTGAGGTAAAACTTTTTCGTCCACTTGATGAATTGTTATCGGAAATTGTTCAATCGATTTCGTGTTCTAAACGTTATTAATTCGTGAAAATAATTATTTTTGTAACTATTTGAGGAAAACTTTAATTGCTATCGATTGATATTTAATTTAGTTTTCACTATATTGAAGGTAAACTGTTTCCACCCAATGGATGACAATGTTTCCTTTAATTATTTTACTCTCTTTCTCTCTCTCGCTCACCCACCATGAACATTGATTCTGAGTTGATTTCGAGATTATCATTGAAACTTTTTCTTCCCAATGTTATCACCAAAGTTGATGTATTTAAATGCTAGGTTATTTCAAGGTTATCGAATTGAACTTTTCTCCTCAGACTAACATGGAATAGCTTTTATCATGTTTTTCTTCAACTTTTTCCATGAGACTCAGAATTTTGCTGATCAGAAACTCAAAGGATTCAAGATGAAGGTGAAATAATAGGTTTTCTCTTATTATTTAAATGAATCCATCAAATCCTATTTACCTTCATCTTAGAGGATTAACTTAATGAAACAAATCACCATGAAACATATAATAACAATCGAGTCTTGATCATGCTGTTTTAAATTCAATTCTGTTCACATTTCATGTTGATGATCAACTTTTTTCTTTGACCTTTAACCTTAATCAATTGTTATCATTTAAGTAAAACAATAACAAAAACAAACGATTCATCAGATTATCTTAATGATTAATTTCACCAGAAATCTAAATGATGTTTAATCAAGTTCATGATCAACAGTAAATGTTACATCCAAATGCTAAGAGATTAATTTTTTTCTCATGAAAATTGTGATAATATTATCAGAATTAATTTTCACCATTACAATTGAAAGTTGTTGATTTCACCAACTTAATCACAATCAAAATTAAATCAACTAAATATGTCGATCAATTGATCAACTTAAACTTGATTTAAATTAAACACGAAAACATAGAGAGTCAAATCAAGTAAAACATTTACTTGTACATCATCAACTGGACTAATTTATTAATAAAGAAATGAGTTTAAATAGTGAAAGGCGTTTACAAAGAAAGGTAAAATTAACCTTATTGGTCAATTTGAAGTGACCGTTGGTTTGAGTTTGTCTT